CTTAATTTTTATACCTCTTTTCATCTTGTAAAAAAAAAAAATGTTCTGGGTGATTATTTTTCTTCGTAAAATACGTGTGCGTATACAAACATACGCACACGTATGACACCCTACACTCGCACATAAACAAACACAGATACGTAAACATAACAACGAAAGCAAATAAAAACAGCCAAAACAAACACAGTCATATCAAACGAAAACAAACAAACACAGCAAACGAAGGCAAACACAAACACACACCCATACCAAAGGAAACCATACATACAAATACCCATAACAAACATGTCAAACGAAACATACACATACCCATAACACAATGACACATACCAAACGAAACCACAAATCCAGTGGACTTCCATCTACTTTCCAATCCGAAAGAATGCCAAGATCACCTAAACTGGTTTCGTTTCACAGGAACACTAAAGTACCTCAAGCAACCCGATGTCCTTCCTTCCTTTCCTTCACATTTTCCATATATAAGGACAGCTTATAGATTCTTAGGAAGCACAAGATTTCGAGTTGACTTGGCGATGGCCATTATGAAAGTCCTGTGTTTCGGCAAGTTATTATTATTGTAGATATTTTTAATTTATTTTATCGATTTGTGCGTGTCATAAATTATGCCTAAAATTATCTTACATGTGACTGCGGAGTTGAAGTCGCTTCATTCTTATGTAAAAAGGGGTGATTATGAACAAAATAGAATACTATTCAAATTTTTGTTATCATCATTATTATTATTATCATCGTTGGCATAATCATTATTATCATTGTTATTAATGCCACTATTTTATGATTCTGCTTGTCCGTTTGTCCATTCGTTCGCACGTTATGCCTTAATCATCATATAAGTGCTAGGCAAGTGCACAGCCTTAAAGTAGTCAGACTGTCAGTTTATGTACTATACATAATTAATTATACGGCTATCTAAGGTGGGAGATTAAGAAGGGAGATAGGATGGGAAGGGGAAAAAGAAGAGAGGGAAGGGGGCTGAAGAGAAAAGGGAGATGAGGAAGTGAAAACTGAGGGGACTTAAAGAGGAAAGGGGGATGGGAAAGGGAGGAGGGAGAGGGGGTTGATGGGGATGATGGGTAAGGGAGCGAAGGGAGTGTAGGAGGATAGAGACGAAGAGGAAGGAAGTGGGAGAGGTAGATACAGGGTATAAAATGAGAGAGGAGGAGTGAATTTATGGAACATCTGGGAGTGAGAAGGAGTGGCAGTAAGGGAAGGGAAAAGAATAGGGTGAAGGAGAGGGAAAGAAAAATACAGAGAGAAGAGGTGAGAGGTAGAAGGAAGAGGGTGAAAGAGGGAAAGAGGAGGAAAGAGGTTCCTCTGATTTTTTTTTTTTTTCTTTCTTTTTTTAGTTACGTGGAAATTCCACAGGTCCCGCTAATCATAATTATTATTAGTAGTATAGTTATTGTTATTATTAGTAGTATAGTTATTGTTATTATTAGTAGTATATTTATTGTTATTATTATCATTATGATCATCATTATTATTATTATCACCATTATTATTACTATTATTATCATTATTATAATTATCATTTTTGTTATTACGATCATTATCACCATCAATATCATTATCATTGACATTGTTATTACCATTAGTTTTATCATTAGCATTACCATTATCATCATTCTTATTTTCATTATCATCATTTGTCATTTTCTTTGGCAATGAGCATCAAACTGTATATGCATGCTTTTCTTTCTAGTCACACACATATATGTGTACGTGTGCGTGCTACATATTTATATCTATAAAGGAATCTTTTAATCTCAGTGGTGTTGGCAGCGGTAGCTACCGGGCAACAGTTCCAAGAGGAAGCGCAGTATGCCACTGCTGTCAGGTTAGCCAGGCCCGGATATTTTCAACAGCCTGGTGTATCTTCTTCAAGTTCTTTCCAAAATGATCGATTCCAAGGCAATTCATTCCAGTCTAATGTTCAGAACAGCCAGAGAGTCAATGTCAACCGCCAACCAAGTGCTTCAGGACGTACCCAGACAAGTGAACAGTTTGAATTTAACACTGGCAACAACAACAATCAATTCCAGAGCAATGCTTTTCAACAGAATCGACAAAATGCGTTTGACTCGAGTATTTCACGACAAGAAGACCAAAACAGCAATTTCCAGACAAGTACCTTCCAGGCTGTTGATAGTTTCCAAGTGAATGATAACCAGAATTCGGGGAATGCCTTCCAGGCCAGCGTAAATAACTTTAACACTGAGGAAGCTAACGCGAGGAATACCGCAACATCAGCTGGTTTCCAAGCCGAGTCTAACTTAAGGAATGCTGCGTCAAACTTCCAGGCCAACAATCAGCGAAGTTCTTCCAGCAACTTCCAGGCTATCAATCAGCAAACTTCTTCCAACAACTTACGGGCTAACGACCAGCGAACTTTTAGCAACTTCCAGGTCAACAACCAGCAAACTTCTTCCAACAACTTCCAGGCCAACAGCCAGCGAAGTACTTCCAGTAACTTCCAGGC